TATTGAAGAATGAGGTACAGTATGTCAAAATATACTAATAAATAAAGATGTCCAAGATGTATTAAATGGAAAAATAAAGTGGTGGAATTGTATGGTATGTCTCCAGTTGTGTAAGAAAATTAAGTAACTTCAATATACATTTGTACACACAGAGTTGTATGTGTATAGACAATTTTTTTATTTATTTATTTTTTTGAGACAGAGTCTGGCTCTGTTGCCCGGGCTAGAGTGCCATGGCGTCAGCCTAGCTCACAGCAACCTCAAACTCCTGGGCTCAAGCGATCCTCCTGCCTCAGCCTCCCAAGTAGCTGGGACTACAGGCATGCGCCACCATGCCCGGCTAATTTTTTCTCTATATATATATTTTTAGTTGTCCAGATAATTTCTTTCTATTTTTAGTAGAGACGGGGTCTCTCTGTTGCTCAGGCTGGTCTCGAACTCCTGACCTTGAGCGATCCAGCTGCCTCGGCCTTCCAGAGTGCTAGGATTACAGGCGTGAGCCACCGCGCCCGGCCAACAATTTTTGAGAGGATATTTAAGATAACCTCTTGAGTGGGCAAGGACTTACACAAGTCTCTTATATAAGAGACTTAAACTTTTCAGTTTATATTCTTTTGTGCTTTTTGAATTTTTTTTCGTAACTACATATAATTTTTATAGTAAAAACCATACAAGCTAAGATTTGGAATCACAATGTAAGGAGATTCAGGGATTGGAGTAGACACAGACCCTGCCAGGAAGAGGTCGTATAAAAAAGCAGCCTTCTGCTCTACAGAGTTGTGTGCTTTTTATATAGACTGATGTCTGATTTTTTTTTTTTTTGAGACAGAGTCTTGCTCTGTTGCTCTGGCTAGAGTGCCATGGCATCGGCCTAGCTCACAGCAACCTCACACTCCTGGGCTCAAGCGATCCTCCTGCCTCAGCCTCCTGAGTAGCTGGGACTACAGGCATGCGTCACCATGCCCAGATAATTTTTTTATATATTTTTAGTTGTCCAGCTAATTTCTTTCTATTTTTAGTAGAGATGGGGTCTCACTCTTGCTCAGGCTGGTTTTGAACTCCTGACCTCGAATAATCCTCCCGCCTTGGCCTCCAAGAGTGCTAGGATTACAGGTGTGAACCACTGCGCCCGGCCCGATGTCTGGTTCTTCACTGTCCCTCTTACCTTTCTCAGGGGAGTGAGAGGAGCACAGGCTTGAAGTAGTTGGGAACAAAGACCTCATGCCTCCCCTACTTCCAAGTTCTGTGTTCCTGCAAATCCCCTTTCAAAGGGCAGAAGCTTGGTAAGTGAATGGATAGAAGATATCGTCATCACTCCAGGATGTGTCTGAGTTTCTCTCACTTCCAAGTGTTTAGTTTCCCAACGAGTAGGACTATATTTAAGGGGGTCTGTTCTGGGAGTCAGTATTGTGCAGTGGTCAAGAAGGCAGATTCTGAGCCAAATTGATGGATTCAAAATGCAGCGCTACCATGATCAAATTACATAATATCTCCATTTCCTTCCCTAATCTCAGGTTCCTTACCTGCAAAATGGGTGCGATAGTACCCATCTTATAGGTTTGTTGTGAGGAGTGAGTGAGTCATAACCATGAGTGAGAGGTTGAAACAGTGCCTGCATATAAGAACTGCTATGAAAATCTTTTTCGTTATCTTGCTATTATTGTTATCATTTGACTGCTATTATTGTTATCATTTAAATACTTTTAAAATAATGATTACAATTTTAACTGGCCTTAAAATTGTACATTTTTATTTTATACATGATACTTTACATAGAACATATTTCTATTAATTTAAAAACAACTTTAAGTATATGTGCATTGTATCACTCTCATAAGCTTGGTTACTTACAGTATTTTTTTTTTTTTTTTTTTGAGACAGAGTCTCACTCTGTTGCTGGGCTAGAGTGCGGTGGCGTCAGCCTAGCTCACAGCAACCTCAAACTCCTGGGCTCAAGCGATCCTTCTGCCTCAGCCTCCCGAGTAGCTGGGACTACAGGTGCATGCCACCACCGCACCTGGCTAATTTTTTTCTATTTTTAGTTGTCTGGCTAATTTTTTTTCTATTTTTAGTAGAGAAGGGGTCTCACTCTTGCTCAGGCTGGTCTCGAACTCCTGAGCTCAAGCAATCCTCCTGCCTTGGCCTCCCAGAGTGTTAGGATTATAGGTGTGAGCCACTGTGTCAGGGCTAATGCCTTGAGGACCATTTTCCCCATGTTATTTTGTGCAGTTATTTATCTTGTCAGTTGTTTCAAGTGAGAAGGTAAATCTGCTCCCTGTTACTCCATCTGGGCCACAAGTGCCTTAGGCTTTAACTGTTAAAAAGTTTTTTTTAAAAAATAGGCGTAAAAACAGTCCTTGTTCACCCCCTGCCAGTATGAATTCAGCCGCACTGAACTCTTGCAACCCTTTTTCCTGGTGTCTACCCCCCGGTCCAGCTCCCCTCCCCGCCGCCCCACTCAGGGAGGCCTTCTCTGACCAGCTCTCTGCACGGCACCCTCGTCAAGCGCCGCCTCTTCGCACTGCTGTATTGTTTGTTAAAGGACTGATGCTTTCGGAAATCATGATATTTATTCATGTTTTTATTGTCAGCCTCCCTCACTGGATAGGATGCAGGCTCCATGAAGGCTGGCTCTCGTCTGTTGCGTTTCCTGCTGAATCCCAGAGCCTGGGACAACTCCTGGGCATATCATAGGCCCTCAGTGAATATCTGTTGAATAAATAAACAAATGCATGGCAGATACCGTGCTGAGTGCTCTACACTGTCCTGTGGTGCCAGGTAGATAAAAACTAGTTTGCAAGGAGAGCAAAGCAAGAAAAGGGTTTTCCAGGCAGCAGGGACAACGTACGTAAGAAACTCAGACTTAAAAAAAAAAAAAAAGAGGTCTGGTGTGGTAGTCAGGAAATAGGATTTATTAAATTGACTCCATTCCTTGCTTCATTTTGTCATGAAAATCTGATTAACCAACTTCCTTTTCAAAATGTTTTCCCAAAATTTAGAAGAAAAAAGTCCTAACAGTATTAGGTATATTGTGTACTTTTTCAACAGTGACATAAATATTAGAATTAAAGTTGATTACAAACTTCCCTGTGTGTGTGTGTGTGTGTGTGTGTGTGTGTGTGTGTGTGTGTGCATGCGCGCATCCACCTTTCCCCTCCCCGCACTACCCCTCACTGTGAATTTAGTGCTTGGGAAAAGTAACTGTGCAACTTGGTAATGAAACCATCCGATCAGTCGAAGGGATGATGTTCCGTGAAGCAGACTCTGTGTAAGCTGTCTTCTCCCTGGCCTTCAAGAGGGGGCACTTTGAGGGGTGACCTTACTGAGTCTTCAGCCTTCTCCCTGTTCTACAGATTCTGTGGCAAACGTGCCAATTAAGGTGGTGGTTTTTTTGATGAAGCCTTAAGTAACTAGAGCCAGGACATAATTTCATCCATTTCATACAGCTCAGCAGGTGGAAACTACTTTCATTTCTACCACATGTCCTGATTCAATCTGGGACCAGACACTAAAAAGGGGGCTCTGTAGCCTATTAACCAAGCCCCCAAGTTAAAGCTGTGTTTGTGTTCTTGCAGTATTTTCCTGATTCTGTTTCTGGCAGGGTCTTTGAAGAATAATTTTCTTTGTTGAATTAGTAAACAGAATTTTTTAAAAAAATGGTGTACATATACTGGAGGGTTTGAAACATATACATGTGTTTTTAGAAGAAAGTATTTTTACTAATTTAACAAAGAAAATTATTTATTTATGGGAATTTCTTGAACAAAATGTTAGTAAAAATTTACCGCTTAATAAAAGCAAGTTTCTTAAACTGAGCCATGCAACAGAAGATTTTGTTTCTGATTCAGAGAAGCACAAAAATGCAAACAGATTTTATGTTTGATGACATAATTCCTGGCTTTCTAAAACAGTCATATTTACATATAAGGCAGAAATATAAACATAGGGATCTGTTTTCATAATGAAAGTTATGTGACTTTGTATCTCATATGCTAAATTTAAGTAGTTTTTATTTTTAGGCTTAAAGTAAGCATACTTTAAGCACTCTTTAATGTTATATGGCTTCACTGTAGTTTAGTTGTTTTTTTTTTTCCCAGAAGGGCAATTGAAATAGAAAATTAGGCTTATTGAGTAATTGAACAATATTCCTTCATCTTGGTGTTTACAAACTCTCACTTAGCAAAACAAGGGTCCAATACAGACTCCTGGAATGACAGAGCACCTTCTCTTTAGTTCCGCCCAACCAACCCTCCCTACCCGACCTTAACATTGTATTTTCATGAGCATTTCACAATATTTCTCATCCCTCATTCCCAGTCTTGACCCACTGACCCAAGAATCAAGAAAATGTCATGTTAGTGCCTACTAATTAGTGCACCCAGAGAGCCTTTTCATCTGGCCTTTCAACCTTCTGGAGGTAGGAGCACAAGCTGTCATTCGTATCATGCAGGGAAAATGAGCCTTTACTACATTTTTCCCTGTTTCACAAACAGCAGAATAAGCCCAGCTGAGACTAGAGATGAATATGCAGGTTAGGAAGAAATTAACCTAAAATGCACCACTGTTTGCATGACTGTCTTTTAGATGACATAGTACTGCCTTCTTGAAATGCCCATAATGGAGCGCTGTGTGCCCGAGATTTTTACCAGAGTAGTGCTGTTGCATCTCACTTTTATTTCAATACCATCATATTTATTTGGTGAAATCATTTTAAGCAAAAAATGTTTTCTTGTTAACATATTAAGTAGCGTTTTAATAGATTTAAGTTTCCCTTGTTTTTAGACACGTTTTTAGAGAATACTGTAGTTTGTTAGTGAGCCTTTGGTTTGAGTGCTCATTAATCAGTGCTATTGGGCCAGGGTCTCCTGAGCCTTCCGGGTTTTGGGGGAATCAGCTACTGTAATTAAAGGGATGAAATATATCATGGTCACAAACTTACCAGATCAGACAATTGAAGGTTTTGAACTAGTAAAATTAATCTTTTTAATTTTTTCCTCTAGGTGTTTAAGATAGAAGTGCTAATGAATGGAAGAAAACATTTTGTTGAAAAAAGGTACAGCGAATTTCATGCTTTGCACAAAAAGGTAACCTTTTTTTTTCTTTCCTTTTCTCTATATGGCAGATGGTATAACATTAAGACTCTTCTGTGGTTCTAAGTGTTAATATTTCTTGTGTATATACAGTTTCTTTTATCATGAAGCAAATTTCCTTTTAAAATAAATTATTCAGTCCCTTAAAGGTGTGCTTTTTGAGTAGGTGGGTTTTCTTTTAAGATTGTCTATTCCTCATTTGTGAAGCAAGTATCAAAAAAAATAAAGATTTGCAAATAAAAATCTGAGGCTGCAAGCTGTTTGCAGTATGCTGCATTGGATGTTACAGATTCAGAAAGAATAAGACCCAGGCCCTATTTTGTCTATGAAATATACTTAATGTTCTTTACAAAAAGGAAAAAAAAAAAGCAAGTCATCATTTTACAGGAAAAAATTTATTAAACTCAACTTATATTTACATGGACCTGGAAAAGATCATGTATATGTACATGTGTATTCAAGGACTGGGGACACACATAAAGAGGCTCATAGCCTTCTTTTGAATTGTAAAGGGCCACTTTACAAAACTGATGTTTCACTTCCTGATCCACTTCATTTAAAGTCTTAGATAAAAGAAACAGAAATGCAAAAGGAATAGCTGAGTTTTGGGGAGAAATGATCAGTGAGGAATAAATGAATGAATACTTTTTTATTTTCTACCCAAATTTAATTTTTTGTAGGTGATAAATTATTATCAGGATGCTGAAATTATCTTAATAACTAGAAATGCCTCATGAGATTGCCCAGAAAATCAGCATGTATGAGCCAGTATAATTTTACCATTTTTCTTTCATATGTATAATGAATTATATATACACACACATACATGAAATGTATATACACAAACAGTGTATGACAATTCAGTTTCTTTACTTTGTTAGGTAAGAAATTAGATTGTTAGATATTAAGTATGTTAAGAAAGTGTCTATTTCAATTTCATTAAAAACTTCTTAAATTTTCTGGGAAATGTCAGTGCATAAATGATGCGATAGTATGCTAACTCTGTATTAAACTTCTTTTAGCATTTTTTAAAATTAAGCTGTCTCACTGTTTTCTAGTCAAGAGAATAGAGAATTGAGTATAAATTTTAACAGAATATCGTTGAGAGGTTATCAAGACTATTTCCCTCTGTTTTCTTTTAAAGGGGTGCTCTAAGTTATCTGTACACCGTTCCATTAGGATGGCACGGGATAATTCTCATTAGTTCTTCAGTCAGGATTTTGTTAAATCCAGGTTACTGCCAAAAGAAACAAGACAGGTGAAAACAGTTCAGACCAGGTATTGCCAGCAGACTTTACAAAAGCACCAATCCTGGGGGCCTCAAAGAGAAACAAACCCAGAATCTGGGTCTTACTTCCTTCTTGTGGAATTCTGTTTTTGTTTATGTGTTTTTGGAGGAAACGGATTCTAGAGAGGTCTCTGCCATGTACCTGATGAAATAAGTCCCTACAACCGAGACTAAAGCCATGCTGGCCACGCTGGACGAGGCAGCCTGTCACACGCAGGCCCCTGTCTCACTTGCCAGGTCAGCACCTAGCACTCCATGACCCCGACACGGCTCAGCTGTCCTCTGCAGATACTCGGGGACCAACTCCACGCGAGGCACAGCTGGGTGACTGCCAATTAGGCCCGCCCTGAGCTGCCCAAGCTTCTTGAGTGGAGGCTCCTTCGCCCTGTTCTCTCTAATACGATTTATTTCCTCCTGCAGAAGAGGCCCCTCTCCCCAGTGATCGTAGGCAGTTCTTAGATACTCATGGTCAGAAAAAATTCCTATATCTTCTGGGACTCACTCTTTTCTCAGTTTCGACAGTTCTATTAATAATATTAGCAGTCTTATAGTTGTATAATGAGGCCTACCAGAGTTAATAAAGTAGAAATTCTCAAATCTCTCAATTTTGCATATTTTTAGCAGCCTTGTTAAAATGTTAGAGACATCCTTACAGGGTCATAGAGGTAAAAATAGCTTTGTGGGGCAGAGTTTTAGTGGGATACGCTATCTAATCTTAGGTATTACAGAGGGGTCAGCAGCCGCTTGAAGCCTTTTTCACTTGCCCATTGTGATCGTGTTAGAGTTGACAAAAAGGTAACTCTAACAGGCAATTAAATGCAATTAAATACAAGTAACGATAAGAGTGTAAAAATAAACAAAAATTGGTAATCATGACTGTAAAATTGTATGCTAAGATGGATTAAAACAGGTAAAAATTTAATCAGAATACACAGGCTTTAATGATTGCTGCTGCCCCATTCTGCAACTTTATCCTTTCACTGCAATGTTGGTATCTTTGATTTCCATATTTGAATTTTGTGACATGCTTTGAATGTTATATTTTAACATATAACATTTTCCCTTTAAGTGCAGTTAAATCTATTATGATTTAATTTTCTTGAAATATTCAACTGTGTTAACCCTCCAAAAATTATCTTTGTTTATTTAGCAAGCATGTATGTTGCCTTATTGTTTTAAGACAGGGTCTTGCTCTGTCACCCGGGCTAGGGTGCAGTGGCACGATCATAGCTCTCTGAAACCTTGAACTCTGGGCTCAAGTGATCCTCCTGCCTCAGCCTCCCGAGTAGCTGGGATCATAGGTGCACATCACCGTTCCTGGCTAATTTTTTTATTTTTTATTTTCGTAGAGACGTGGTCTCACTATGTTGCCCAGGTTTGTCTGGAACTCCTAGCCTCAAGCTATCCTCCTGCCTGAGCCTCCCAAAATGTTGGGATTATAGGCATGAGCCACCATGCCCTGCCCTACCTTGTTTTAATTGGTATTTCTTAAGTTTCTTTAGGAGTTGTAGTCCCTCTTTTTTGAATTATCTATTTATGTGCTTTCTCATTTATCTGCAGAGTCTTGGTTGTTTTTACTTACTAGTTTGTGTGGCGTGTTAATGAAATATTAGCCATTTGCTGAAAGTATTTTTTACCAAAGGTCTTTTTATTTTGGTTATGATATTTATTTTAATTTATGAATGTTTTAAATCTTTATGTTGCCTAATATGTCAATTTTTACCCTTTCAGATTTTATCTACAATTAGTCATTTCTTTGAGAGCCACGATGAGTATTCGATTCCATTTTCCTTCAGTTTTTCTAGATTGGTCTTTTTCAAAATGTGAGCGTTGGATCACCTGAGGGCAGATCCCTGGGCACCATCTCAGACAGACTGAGTGAGAATCTCTGTGATGGAGCCCAGATGCTCTCAATGCCTGCTGAGGTTTGGGAATTCCTATCGTGTGGTTATATGTTTAAAGGCATCTCTTAGACATGCCCCTTGCCACCCTATCCCATCACATGCACTGAAGCCACAAGGTTTAGGACCATGCATCTCAAGGTTTTAAACCCTGAAGGTCCTTCTACCTTTCTGTTACCCTGCCTTATCCAGAATGTCACTAAGTCCCGTTGATTTGTTCTTCCAAATGTCTATAATATGCACCACTTTTCATTTTCTGCTCCTGCCATCCCAGTCCAGAATCTTACCACTTTATGTTAGTGGTGCTTTAACCATTTCGGATCCTATCTTCTTATCTGTTCTCTGCTGCAGACGGGTTTTCCTAGAGCACCATTTCATCTTCACTCAAACACACTGAAATGGGTCTTTGTTATCTCCCCCATCATAGACATTGACTCTCAAGGCCAATAGTCTTAAACCCTGTGTTAGTTTCCTATTGCTGCTGTAACAAATCACCAAAAACCTAGTGGCTTCAAACAACACACATTTATTATTTTCCTTGAGCTGGGTCAGTGGGCTGTGTTCCTTCAGGGGGACTCTAGGAGAGGATCTGTTCCCTTGCCTTCTCCGGGGTCTAGAAGCTGCCTGCGTTCCACGACGCATGGCCCCTTCCCTCTTCAAAGGCAGCAATCACCTCGCTCCACCTTCTGCTTCCATCCTAACATCTCCTGTCGTCACATCTCCTCCTTCCCCCTGGGATGACACTGGACCCACCTGGATGGATAATCCAGGATAATCCCCCATCTCAAGATCCTTAATTTAATCACATCTGCAAGCCCCTTTCCCAGGTAAGCGAGTGTAGATTCAGGGGACTGAGACTTGGACATCTTTGAAGGAACCTTTAATCTACTACTAACTCTTTACTGGCCAGCCTGATATCTCACTACTTCTCCTAAGAAATCTTCAGTGACAGCCGAGCCACTCTCCCCGCTTCCCCCATTACATGCCGTGAAAATCACTACCTGTCCGCCTTTGCCATGCTGAATGTCCTTCCCTCTGCGCACTGATCTGTTCCAACCAGACCAAGACATTTATTTCAATTTCTCTTTCTTCTGTGTTAGCTCCCTTTATTCCTTAATCTTTTTGTTCTTGGACTCCTATTTCATTTAGAATAGAGATCTCTACTTGAACATTAGAAACATTTAAGAGATAATTGTTCTTCAGTTATCCCTAAATTTTGTCTAATTAGAAGAGATTTTTTTTTAAGTAGGGACCTTGTCTTATCTCTGGTATCTTCCACACTGTTAGAGTGTTAGGCACCTGTTAGGCTTTATTACATAAGTATTTGGCAAATGGGATGTTTGGAGAACATTACGCATATTTATGAATTGCTGGAGGAACATTTTGGTTGGGAAGAAGAGTTTCTGTTGTGGGGGTTTACATTCACTGTGAAGTGTGACCCCAGCTTACACTTGCCCTGATTTCTTTGCTGCTCCTACTCTGCTAGTGCTAGGTGGGAAAGACACCACCACCCTGAAACAGAAACAAACCCCCGTCCCACCCTTCTCCGTCATGAAGGGCTCGGACACAGGCTCTGGGGACAGGGTGAACCTTCGGTCTCGTAAGTGCTTCCCCCGCTCCAGCCACCCTGTGCACACCCCACGACGGCTAAATAATTCACCATTTTACATGGTGGTGCTTGAAAAGAGCTTTACTTTCCTGGGCCCAGACTCCCATGTCTGGGCAGAAAAACCTTCCCTGCACTGCAAGCAGCTGAGCACGTTTTATTTTACGTGCCTTCCCGGCTGTTCTGTGTCCATCGCAGCCCACCCTTTTATTCACAAAGGTTTCAGGCAATGATGGTGCTGGTTCAGGTTTAAGTTAACTGTCTTCACTTTTGTTATTGCCTACTTTGGGCTTGAGGAAAATATTTCATTCTCTTATATTTAGTTCCATGAAGTACACATTTCAGAAGAACCAAAAAACTGCCATACGTCAAAGCAATAGTGCAGCGCCCTGTGCAGTGTCTCTAAAGGGGACCCCGAGGAAATAGGGGCGACAGAATGGGGGAAAAGATTAGATTTTGCCCCCAATGTCCCCTACTTCTTTAACCTTTTTTTTTCTTTTTCGTCCTTTTCATTCACGTGCTTGAGAAAGGTATTTCTGATCCTTTCTGTGGAAGACGGCTACCATAACCAATGTATACGACGGCAGGTCTATGTGGAGCTAAGTTCTGCGTAAATCCCCCAGGCAGTATGAAAAGGAAAGGGAGTGGTCACGCCAGGAAAAGGGATTGTGTGTGTGGTATCGTGGAATCTGGAGCTTATCTGCGTGGATCAGAAAGGCCGTGTGCCTGGACACAGCATGGCCAGGACAGTTAATCATCGGAGGAAGCGGCAGAGGGGTATTTATCTTGCAAGCAGCTGAGCCTTAGTGGAAACATATTGTCTTGGGTTTGTCTCTCATCTAAAGCGATTCATTACTCACCTGCAAATGCTGTCACAGACCCTACCAGCTATGGCGATCCGCTTGCTCTGTACTCCTGACATAAATAAAAAGGAAAAACGTTCTCAGTGCTGTATCTTCAAGATTTTTTTTTAAAAAAAGAAAGATAATGGAGTTGATTTTCTATTCTGAAATATATGTTGTGATTCAATAATTTTAAAGCAAGTTAGGTTATGTTTAAATCAAAACTTAATTAAGCTTATTACCAGAGAATAACTTAGCGTTTTGGCCTTGTTCTTGTTGAGAAATACCTCCAACGGTATAGAGACGAGATATATATTTACTCCTTTGCAGACAATCACGAATTCCCCCCTCCTCTCTCTTGCATTCTCAGTTTCCCCCTCAAAACTGACTCAGTCTCATCAATAAACGAGCCTATTACAATAGTTCCTATTTAACAAAATAAAGCCCAGCTTTGGCCCCGTGCTTCCCTTTCATGTTCGTCCCATTGCACTCCTTCCCTTTTAGTAGAATTCCTTGATAGAAGAGCCTCTACTTCCCCGCTCCCCTTCTCTTTGCACCCCGCATTATTGACTTCCCGCCATCACCCAGCACGGTCTGATCACGCCCGCCTTCTTGAAACACTTTCCTGATGGAAGTTACTTTCCACTCCCTCCTCCCTGATTGCCCCGTTTCTCTTCCCTGCCTGTCAGAGTTGGGTGTCTCAGACCTTGGCCCTTGTATTAGTTGTCTCCTGCGGCCTAACAAATTACCACAAACGCAGCAGCTAAAAACAACATATTTGTTACCTCAGAGTTTCCGTGGGTCAGGAGTCTGGGCACAGGTTTATTGGTTTTCTGCCCAGGGTCTCTCCTGGCTGAAATCAAGGTGTCTGCCAAGGCTGTGATGTCATCTGAGGCTCAGGGTCCTCTTCCACACTCATTTGGGCAGAATTCAGTGGCTTGCAGTTGCAGGACTGAGGTCCCTTTTTTCTTGCCAACCGGAGGCCAGGGGCAGCTCTCAGGTCCTAGCTGTGTGGCCCTCTGGTCGCGTGACAGCTTACTTCTTCAAAGCCGGCAGTCTGCTGGGACTAAGTTATGTATAACATAACATAATTCTGGGAGTGACTATCCTACCGTGTTCTCAGGTGCTGTCTGTGCTCTAGAGGAGGGGATCACGCACGGCGTGTACCACAGGGGACCATTTTGGGATTCTGCCCACCACAGCCCTTTTTCTCCATCCTTAACTAACTCCCAGTGCCATCTCCTCTAGTTCCATGGCTCTAGATACCACTTATATATTCTGACTCCCAGATTTGCAGACTCATATCCAGCTGCCTACCCACCATCTCCACTTGGATGCCTGTTGGGCATCTCTGACTTAAAATCCTCAGAACAGAACAATTGATTCCCTTATGTTAGGGCTATCTGTGGTTGCATATAGTAGACACTTGCCTAGGATTCTTAAACAAGAAAGAGATTTATGACTCTCACGTTGTAGCAAATGACTCTCACGTTGTAGCAAACTAGAGGCAGGCAGTCCAGGATGGTGCAGCAATCCCACAACACCCATGTTCCAGGCTCCTCCTGTCTTCCTGCTTCACCATCCTCACCTTAGCAAGTGATTTTTACCCTTCTGGTTATAACATAGTTGCCATCCCTCCAGGCATTGCTTCTGCATTTCTGGCAGGAGCAAGAGCCTATTTTTTTCTTGTCGTTAGGAAAACAGGAGCCCTACCCAGTATACTTGTAGTACATTTCATTAACTCTGTCACGTGGTCACCCTAATTACAAGGGAACCTGGGAAACCAATGTTTTTAGCTCAGCATGTTGGCCCTCTGAATAACATTGCAATTTTGGGGGGTTTTTTTCTTCTAAGAAAAAAGAAGGAATGAGTATTGGCTAGGCAGCTAGCAGTGCCAGCCACATCCGTTATTCATGTGGGATTAGATTTGGTTGCAAGTGACTCTAAAACCAAAATAATGGTGACAGTAACAGGTACAACTTGGTTCCTCTCTCACATAAATGTCTAGGGCTGGTGTGGAAGTTTCATGATCATCAGGGACCCAGGCTCTTGTTGCTTTGCCATTTTTACCATGAGGTTTCTACTTCAGGGACAATGGTGGCTGCTGCAGCTCCAGCCATTTCAGAGGCTCCTTCTTCTTCATGATGTATGACAAATTTCAGCCTAATATGGTTAATGGTGAATATAATTCTTATGTATGGGAAGAATTTCTTATTACAGATTTGGCTGCCCAGGTTTCATTGTGTGCATTTTCTTATTGTTATGCTGTTTCTTTGCATGTGTAGTAAAGGAACAACCTTGGTAGGTTTTTCCAAATTTTTAATTAGAACATTAAGATTCATTCCATTTTTAGAGGCCCTGTATTAGTTTGCTATTTGCTGCTGTAATAAATTACCTTAAACTTAGTGATTTTAAAAAACACAAATTTATTATCTTATATTTCTTGAGGTCACAAGTCCAAAATGAGTTTGACTGGGCTAAAATCGAGGTGTCGCCAGGACTGTATTGTTCCTGGAGGCCCTAGGGCAGAATCCATTCCCTTCCCTTTCCAGCTTCTAGGAATTTGCCTTCCTCCTTTGTCAAAGTCAGAGTCTTCTGATCTCTGTCTGACTCTGACCCTGCTGCTTCCCTCCTCTAAGGATCCTTGTGATTACATGGAGTCCACCTGGATAATCCAGTATAATCTCCCCATCTTAAAATCACTGATTTAATAAAATCTGTAAAGTCCCTTTTGCCATGTAAGGTAACATTCATAGGTTTAGGATTTGGACATCTTTGGGTGAGGGAGATTATTCTGCCTCCCACAGGCAGCTCTAGTTTAACTTCCAATAGAATTTTTCTTTTGTCCCCTAAAACTGCTGCCAGGAAAGGCCTAGCTAAGAATGGTCATTCTGTTTTCATGAACAGAATTTGAACCTAAATTGGGTGTATGGTGCATGTGAGTAGACCCAGCCACTGAGGAAGCTGAGGCAGGAGGATCGCTTGAGCCCAGGAGGTCGAGGTTGCAGTGACCCATGATGACGCCACTGCACTCTAGCCCAGGCAACAGAGCAAGCCTGATTGTTAGGAACGTTGGAAAGATTGGCCTCTGTGTTTTTTAGCTCCCTTTCCAAATGATATGGTCTTGTTCATATGGCATTTCTGGGGACAATGGTTATGAACAATTACATTTTGTTTTGTTTTCTTTATGGGAAAAATATATAGAAAGACTTTTTATCACAAAAGTACTTACTCCAAGCAAAATTTTGTTGTGCTAATTGATTTTTGAAACTAAATTTACTTTCTTTTTAGCTCATTTACTGGACTTCTTATTTTTTGTGGAAAAATAATTCCAATCTGAAATATCCACAATAACATCTACCAAAACATAAAACCCTTATCCTGAAACCTGAACAGTCAGGACACCTAAATAAAGAATTTTTTGACAAAATTTCAGTATAATTATATTTTCCTCTATTTGTTATTGGAGACAGCAGTGGTTCACTTTCTTTTATTGGCCTTTTTTCCAAAATAATGTCATTATAACTAACAGACATCTCTTTTTTTTTTTCTGTTATGTCTTTATAGCTTAAGAAATGTATAAAAACTCCAGAAATCCCTTCTAAACATGTTAGGAACTGGGTCCCAAAAGTATTGGAACAACGACGACAAGGTTTGGAAACATATTTACAGGTAAGATATGTTTAGATCCTCAATTAATATAATGTAGCTTAAATAATCACATGTCTATTTTTTCTCAGGTTGTGTGAGTGTGATGCAAAATATATCAAGCAGGCAAAGATTCTAAATTAAAGGAAGTTCAAAATTATAAATATGTCGTTAACTGGTTCTTTTAGCTTTAGTTAGGTTCTATTTAAAATTGGTTATATGCATTGGGTAAGGGAAATTTTATTATAAAGGTAAAAACTAGTGTAGAGAGGATCTGTCTGTTTTTTAATTCCACTCTACAGATTACTTTGTTTTTATTTTTTTGTTTTCCCTCCAGGATTTTTGCTCCCTCATAGCAATCCAGCCTTTAGGTTTTGGGCTTTGGGGGGCTGGTTGGAGTACTGCGAGAAACTGAATTTTCAGTGGCCCTGGCTAGTATGTCTATGGAATCAAACTGAAAATGAGTGTATAAAAATTGCCTGTGATGAAGCGCCAACTTCTTTGAAAACGTGTGTTTAGAAAGAGTGCATTAGGATGCTCTTTTCTGCAGCTGAGAGGAGCAGGCAGCGCTGTCTAATTGAGGTCAGACAAAGGCAGTCTCTCCACCAAGTGACACAAAAAGCAAAAGGAAAAGGTTGAGAAGTATCAGCTTCTCTGAGTTTTTTAAAAAAGGCCTAGGAGCCTCAAGTGAATATTCCCGGTAGTCAGCAAGTCCTAAGAGCACGGCGCAGGGCAGGCGCTGGGGCAGGCGGCCTTGAGGGGCTGGTGCGCTGGAGCGTCCGAGTCCACTTGAGACGGGGCGCACGAGCGGGGCAACCTTGGCTCCCAAAGAAGAGCGGGACTGCACCTAAGAGTTATGAAGTTGTGCCTGACCCCTCTAAGATACCTTGCAGCCGTGACCGTGTTCGCCCTTTGGCATCTCCGCAGCCCGTTTAAGCGTCAACCCCTGGCGGACCTGTCCAGGAGGGAAGCCCGGGCCTGTGCAGAGCCAGCGCGCGGTTCCCCGCGGACGGCTGCGCCCGATCACTGGTGATTAGGCGCCGAGGAGAGGCTGACTGCTCAGGGTTGTACGCGGTGACAGGTTCTGAGGACTCGCTCGCAGTAGAGAGATGCCAGAAGTCCGTTGCTGGCCTCCTGCAGTTCTCCTGGTCTTTGCAGTGAGTGCTCAAACAGGAACGCTGGCGTGCGGCAGGCCCCGGAGACAGGAGGGCTGTCTTTCCTCTTTTTGCGCTTCTGCTCTTGGGCTTGGTGGGAGAATCCTTCACCGCCTGTCCCTGGAGCTGGGAGCTTAAAGGACACGGAGATCACAAATCACAGGAGTGTGTGTGGCCGTGGATTTTGAGACTGTAAGAAGAGCTATGACACTTCCATAGCCCCAGAGCAAAACACAAACTGAAAAACCAAAAAATGAGGCTTCAGAAATTGTATGCAAAGGATAAAATGCGTGTTCTCTATAATTAAATGGAATAGGTAAACAACGCATTTTTATTTGTAAGCCAGATTTTCCACAGATATTGTATATCTTCAGGCTTTAGTTCTGAATAAAGCTTTACTCTCTTCCCCTCATTGTATTTGACACATGACTTCCATTACTACTCAGTGTAAACGTTTTAAGTTGTTTGTACTTTGGATATAAATATGTGCCTAAAGTCATCTGACACAGAGAGGAGTTTATAGTGACACTCAAGTTGAGCTTAGAATTTTCTATTCTCAGAACTAGGGCCTGAAAGATGTGGTTGAAGGGCCGAGAGGACTTGCTTCCTGTTGTGCATTTAATAGTCAATTTGTTGTCACTTAAATCGCCAAGGAGTTCAAGGGAGCTTTCCCTTCTCCCTTTTCCACCTGATTCTATTTGCAGACAGTAGGAGCTAGCTAGAACTAGTGTGGAAATGCCACAGCACAATTAATAGTCCTGCAGCATCGTGGATAGGTTCTAATCAGTGAATTTATAATACCTTCAAAAACTTCTGCCAGCCTAGAAATTTCCAAACGGTCATTTTCACACATTGTAACAATATGTCAATAGCAACTACAGCTAATGTTATTTAGTATTACTTGCCTGGAGATTAAAAAAACAAAAAAAAAGGTACTGTGAAAGCTCCATGAGTGAGTTTTTATTTTTTAAGTTTATTTCTGAACCATCATTACTTTCCTACTTAAATTTTCAAATGATTTTGGTTTGAAGCAAATTCTAAAACAAAATTTACTAAATGCCTAAGTACATACAGCATCTTAAAATCAAAATCTAGAAATAACCAAGGACAGGATAAAAGTTGCATTTTACATTTGAGTAATTTGAACTATGGCAGTCCACCTGATGAACAGTGAACTTTAATTTCATTTCTAGAATCATTTTCTACTTATTGAATAGGAAATCAAGTAGCTGTTACTCGTTATGTTTTCTAATCTCCTCCTCCTTAAATAATACACCCCAGGAAATCCTGAGGTTTAATGAATGAGGGAATTGATCATCTATAAAGGTAGAATTAAGCAGAACAATATCTTTCTACATGAATGGAAGGAAGTTAATTGGTTTTCATCCCAACAAAAAGTCTGTGCCAAATAAAGATTTTTTTCTAGTAATAAACTCTTTATTTTCCAAGTTATATAAACTAGGAATTCATCTACTTAAGGGGATGTTTTATAATAACTTGAAGATAAAAACAAGTTAATATTTGGTATTAATTTACCAATAAATGTATGTTTGTATATAGTTTTGCTTAATGATAAGCATTCTTCAAGCACCTGTGGTGTTTGAGGCAGAAGGTTAGATGTAGCTTCAGAGAAACCTTGAACCATAGCCCAAATTAAATTACTGTAGTTATTTTATCCATCTCGCTTTTTCACTTTCCATGGTGTGAGCTTCATCTGGCCCCCTGATGGTACAGAAGGGCTGCAGCAGTTCCAGACCTCACCTACTCTCACCATATGCGAGAGTACAGGGGAAGAGTAGGGTCTCTTTCAGTAGACGTCACAGAAGAAAGAAGAAAGGTCTTTCCCTAGGGGTCTCAGCAGATGTCTTCCTTCATCTCATTGGCTTATATTTGTGTACATGCCCCCCCTCAACCTCACTGTGGCCAGAGATCCCTGACTGAGTTAGTGAATCATGGCCTACTCCTCAAGCTGCGGGTGAGGAAGGGGTGATTTCCCTAAGGAATAACTAGGGTATTCTTGGTAAAAGAAAAGGAATATCCTGAGTGTGGGTGGGGAAGTGGAGGGCAACCAGCAAATGCCCACTACAAAAAATGATGATGCCCAGAAAATCTGAGTGAATTGCCTAAGGTTATGAAAAGGTAGGGACTTTCCTCAGACTGGAATTCAAGGCTCTTTCATAGATAGATAAAATTTCTTAAAAAATTTAGTTATGAGTATCCTTGACTTTTGATTTAAAGACCAGAGATGTTTCTTCCCTTCATTTTTGTTTTAAAAATATAAAATAATAATTCTCACTAATATAATTACTTTTAGATCTAAAATTTTTATTACCAATGAAGTTATAAGCTGGAACATTAATGAATTTAGCATCTAATAGTGTTTACCGGTTTCTGAGAAGAAGCAAAAATCTTAAGAATAAATTATTATTAATTGCAATTTCCCAAACAGATGTGACTATCAAATACGGTTTATATGGTAGTTTTGCCTCCTGATTTGAGATGACTTGCTGTCTTTCCTAAGATCCCCCCTCTGAAATAAAAGTTTAGAAACTTAAGAAGGAATAAACTCAACAGTTCAGTAGTAGATGGGCAAAGAAAAGAGGGGATTGTTAAAGGAAGAAAAAGTTGAACAACTTTCTGGGAGATGGGACCTGCGGGGAGAGTGTGAGCAGATACGATAGAGGGGGGAAGCCGCGGTCCAGGCTCGCCAGAGGACCTGCAGCGGAGCTGGGAGGCCGCCTGTGCACGCTGGTGCAGGAGGCGACTGGGCCAGAGTCGGCAGGCGAGGCTGGCAGAGCAGGGCTGGGCAGCGAGGCTGAACACAAGTGGGCCTGTTCAGGGTGCAGGCTGAGTACCTTAATGAGAAAATCTGAAAGCCGAAGTACTCCAAAATCTGAAACATTCCGAGTGCTGACGTGATGCCACAAGTAGAAAATTCCATGCGTAAGTATTTAACATACACTTTGTTTCACGCACAAAATTGTTAAAAATATTGTATAAAATTACTTTCAAGCTATGTGTATAAGGTATATAAGAAACATAAATGAATTTTGTGTTTAAACTTGGCTCCCATCCCCACGATCTCTCTTTATGTATAAGCAGATATTCCAAAATCTGAAAAAATGTGATGTACAAAGCACTTCTGGTCCCGTGCATTTCGGATGAGATGCTCAACCTGAATTTGCATGGAGCAGCTGCCCAGGCCACTCGTTCTGTACAGAATATATGCAGCCTGATGTTTGTGACTAAAGTTTTTGAAAAGACTTTTCTCTTAACAACAAAACAATAAAACAACAAAAAATTAAACAGAATGGCTGGGTAGAGTTAAGGCTTCTAATGTGGCTATTAGGGGCTCCAAGTTGGTGACCCCCTCCCCACTTACTTACCCAAAGGAAGAGCCTACCTGCCTGCACGCTCCATCACGCTGTCTTTCCACTCGGGCAGGGGCCTGGCCGAGCACTGCTGCTGACATGCCGGCAGACGAAACCCATCCAGGCAACTTTCTTCAGTGTGACCCGATAACCAGGCATTTGAAGAAAACAAGTGGCATGAACAAAAAGACCAAGATGAACTAAAATACTGACTCTTCAGGAAAGAGAAAATTCACGACACAAAATATATCATAAAAATTCATGTAATAAATCCAGAGAGCTTCACAAAGGTATTATATCCAAAAGATTACAATAGGATGCTGTGTAAAAGGAACAATCTGAGAACATACAAGAATTCTTAGAATTAAATGTGTTGTCTGATTCAAAACATTCAGTAGATGCTCATTTGGGAAACTGTTCCGTAAAATACAGATAGAAAAACTCTCAAGCAAAAGACAAAAGACATAGAGGACCAATCCAGGTCTAATGTTCTACTTTT